GTGCCTTCTTACATTAGGCCAATGTGAGGGAACACAAGATCTTTAAGAAATTCGAAATTTTCAAAATTATCAAAACCATTTTTAAAAAAATCTCACCATCGCCAGCCCTTGGAGTACAACGAAGTGGTAGAGGAAGAAAATGCATAGACCAAAAACTGTCCAATTGTAGTCGTACGCTTTTTCAGGCTCAAATGCTCCTAAAAGAAATAATTGTGTCAGAGCATAGCACAGTTTCCCTTGCTTAGGCTCGTCGAGCTCGTTGCAATACTCGAATTTAATGGGACAAACGAGATTGGCCCAGCGCAAGGCAAACACCTGCCAAATCCTAATCTGCATGCTTGAGGCTAAGTCTCGCAAATCACTAACCTTTCAAGTACATTAGGTAAATGGGGACGAGTAATATGGCCACATGCTGCGCATAATAGACGAACACTTCACCAGGAAGCTAAAAATAAGACCAAAGTTTTGTTGGAAAAGATTATGTGTAAATTCTGAAGAGGACTTACAATTCTAGTGTTGAGAATCGGAAACGCAAGTGCAAAAAACGCTCCTGGCATAAAGTACATGTGAAAACGGAACAGAAAGCAGGCCTTTCTGAATTTTTATTAGATTTAGTGATATATAGCTGACAGATTGAGAATTGAACGATACTTTGATAGTAAGTAAAATAGCCGCTTTATCTCCACTCCCTCGCTATGCAAGAAAAAATATGACGAGATAACTTTCGATAAGATACCTCTAGCAGTCTACACTGTCTGAGCCTCACTCTATTTTAATTTTTATATTATCTGATCAAAAAGGATGTTGATGAATGCTCACCTGTCGTTAGCATCCATAGTCAGAAGAATCAATTGCATTGCAGTAGTAATGTGGCATGGATTTAACAGGAAGATACCAGTTCTGTTGAATGCAATAACGTTAAGAATCAACAGTAAAACACAGACTAAAATGTATTTTGCAAACTTACTTCGAAATCATTTTAAAAGCGAGTTCAGCTCCGAAAATAATGCTATAAACAGTGAGAACAGCATATCGAGAATCATTTTTCGGTCTAGAGCTGAACGAACAATCCAGGATTGGCACAATGCTAAGCACTGTCCTGATAGCTAACGGAACGATAATCATCGTCTCGCAAAATCGTTGCCATGTGGGAAGATACTGTAAGAGAATGGTTAAGACAGATCGGAATTGAAATAAGACAAGACGTTACCGCTCTGCTGTTTTGGAAAATTCTTTTAGAAAAGTGGAAAATTCGTAAGTAAGCAGGAATTCTGTCAACCCACTGTCATGCATTCTTCACCACCATTTCCCGGAATTGTACTGTCCACACCACCAGCCGCGAGCTCCCACCAAAGGCCGGCCATAGGCTAGAATGGTTTACGCAGCTTGTCACTACCGACACATTTCCTCTAAATACTACCGTATACTACAGTAATCAAAAACCGATTTACCGAGAACAATGACGAAAAGCACAATGACTTCGTTGAATGATGATGATGTTGGAGCAATGAGACGTTCTTTCCGACATTT